AAAAAGTTACAAGGACAATTACATAGAAGAGGTGTTCTTAATTCCTAGACAAAGATCGAAGCTAAAATTTAGTCTGCCACTCTAGCATATACATCAAAGACCCAATTCGTAAGAATTTCGTAAAGCTCTTGGGAGTTTGCATAGTTTCAAAACGAGCAAAATCAATGTAATTCATTTTGATTTATACTTCTGCATTTTTTTTGCTTAAAAAATAAAACTTTCCAATGAGTTTTTGAGAAACGAAACAATAAAAACGTTCGTTTCACAAGAACCAGGACGATCAAATGAGCAGTTTGTTGTAGTAAAAATGCGGGCGAACTCGTTGAAAATGACGAGCGGCCACATGCGGTGTTAGGATGCGTGCATAAACCCTGAATAATTGCACTGATCCGATTACACAACGATACGCTGCTGTCATCAGCTCTATTTACCGATTTTATACATTTTAAAAAAACTATAATCAGTGACTTCAAGTTGTTTGGCTCAACTTGACTCATTTTATTTGACTAATTACACACAGAACAGAGGACAGAAGGCTAAAACTGAGGATGTCTGATTTGATATACCCGGAAAAGACGGAAGCGGATATTGCGGACTATAAGGAATAAGCTCTGATTGGAAAAAAAGCGCTCCTTTGAGGAAAAAACGAACGAGTACAAAAACGGAGAAAACCAATGCATTAAACCTAAAAGGGCCCTTTTTAAATGTGCTTGATCAAATAACTGGGATGTTTTCAAAATATGCTTTATAAGAGTTTCTATATGAAAAAACACCATCAAATGAGATATTGCACTAACACGACCTGCTACTACTTCCAGTAAACGTCTGAATTTTCACATCATTCACTCAATGCCATCAAAAATGCAATCAATTATAGTAATTACAATATACAATTTACCAATCACCACATTCATCCTTAATTAATAATGAGTTCAGTTTGAGTTACAAGAAGTGAGGTGAAGAATTCCAGTCTCTACCGTTTAAAAGGCATGAATGAAAAAGAAAACACTTGTTTTGATTTTCATTTTATAATATTTGTGTTCTGTTGCTTTTTGAATTACCTTATGTCGGTATCCATAATAACCACCTGTATGGTTTTAGCTCAAAGTTAACTTCTTCAAATACAAAAGGAAAAAAGAAAAAGGCAAGAAGGACTTTTAAGATCGTCAGGGATTTTGCTACAAAAAAAGAGAGAGAGAAATACTTGAAAAAAAAAAGCCAAGTCAAGGATCTTAGCATCATGTGCCAGTGAATTAGTATGTATACGCAGTTGCTACCAGATTCCATAGATTATTCTCTTATCAGATACTAGCCACTTGCTAGCCG